CCCTCCTGTGGGCAACTGGGACCTAGGACTGACTCTCGCCATGGGCAGCGGGGACCTAGGACTGATCCTGCTGTGCCGGCTGGGACCCTCGTCAGGTGTTCAGTCATCCGTCTGGTCGTTTAGGTCATGATGGACCCCGGCTCTTTATCTAATAGGGTAGGGAAATTAAACATAAAGGTATTTCATGGTTTATGCTTAAAAAATGAATCTTAAAGTTTCAAAAAGTAAATAACTAGTCCATGTTCTCAAGTTTATATAATTATAATATACGGAAGTAATAAATGCAAAATCCAATATTTATGGAGCATTTTCTCTGTGGTAAGCACACAAATTATCTCATTTAATTCTTAAAACAACCTGGAAGGTAAGTGCTCTTACTATCCTCAATGAACAGATTATGAAAAACCAAGATTTAAAAATGTTAAGTAATTTTCACAAGAGCACAGAATTAGGATGACACAGATTTGGTAGTCAGGCTGGAAACATTAGTACTCTATACTGTCTTAAGGTAAAAATAAATTTATTTCCAGAATCCTAGATACTGGCACTAAAGCATTTAACAAATTAAAAGCAAGTGCATTTTAAAAGAGGCAAAAATAGTACATAGTGAAAGAAAATATATGGGATGAGTGCTATAAATTTAACCACAATGATTAAAACTACTACTCAATCTTGTGAACCTGCTGTGGGTAATAGAAGGAAGTTTGGATACTTCGGGCATCAATATTTATCGTGGATGTAAATGAGTAAATGCATTTCTACATAATATGAAATCTTGACTTAAACACTAATTAAATATGTTTTTAATATATATGTTTTTATTGATTTCAGAGAGGAAAGGAGAGGGAGAGACATCATTGATGACAATCATCCATTGACTGCCTCCTGCATGCCCCCTACTGGGGATTGAGCCCTCAACCCAGGCATGTGTGCTGACCAGAAATGGAACTGTGTCCTCCTGGGGCATGGGTCCTCGCTAAACCAGAGACATATTGGCAGAGCTTCATCACTAATTTTGTGCATAGATAAGTGGCTTTGTGACAGTTTTTTTTTTTTTTTTAAGTAATATACTTATCAAAATACCATGAGCATCCTATCTAATAAAGAAGGAATATGCTAATTGTCCCTCAAACCTTCACAAAGATTGAGATGCCCACCACCAATAAGGAGGGAATATGCTAATTGACTGCCACACCTTCAAAGATGGCGGCACCCACAGCCACAAGATGGTGGCGCCCAGTCCCCTTAGCCCTGCTGGGGTGGCAGGCGCATGCCTGCTTCTGAAGACCCCCAGTCCACTCAGCCTCTCAGCCACCCAGGGCCACCTGAGGCTCAGGTAACCAGGGCCAGCCAAGGCTTGAGCTGCCAGCAGTGACAGCAGCAGAGGTGTGAAGGGGGCATCACCTTCACATGATCGCCAAGTTGCCTCCCACCTCTGAGGGCTCCCGGACTATGAGAGGAGGAGGCTGGGCTGAGGAAGCCCTTCTCCAGTGCATGAATTTTCATGCACCAGGCCTCTAGTATATATATATATATATATATATATATATATATATATATATATATATGCCTAAGTGACCATCGCAACTGAACGGATGACCAAACAGACTGTGTGGGGTGACCAGGCCAGCAACTTAGTGAGGGGCGACCAAACAACCAAGAAGCAGGCTACATGGGGCAACCAGGATGGCAGGGGGCGTGGTGAGGGGCAACCAAATGACTGAACAGCAGGCTGCATGGGGTGATCAGGCCCACAGGGGGGATAGTTGGGGGCAACCAGGCCAGCATGGGGGCAGTGAGGAGTGACCAGGCTGGCAGAGGGTGGCAGTGAGGGGTGACCAGGCCGGTGGAGGGGGGACAGTTAGGGGCAATCAGGCAGGCAGGTGAGCAATTAGGAACCAGTGGTCCCAGATTGTGAGAGGGATGTCCGACTGCCAGTTTAGGCCCAATCCTAAGGATTGGGCCTAAACCAGCAGTTGCACATCCCCTGAGGGGTCCTGGATTGGAGAGGGTACAAGCTGGACTGAGGGCATGCCTGGCCCCCATGCATGGATTTCCTGCACTGGGCCTCTAGTTTTATTTATGTATATACTAGAGGCCTGGTGTACGAAATTCATGCATGGGTCCCTGGGCCTTCTGGCTGTCTTCCAGGGCCTTCCTTCATTTTGTGCCACCCCCTGGGGTCAGCACACATCATAGTGAGCAACTGAACTCCTGGTCTCCCCATGGAACTCCCAAGGGGACACTTTGCATATTAGCCATATATATATATATATATATATATATATATATATATATATATATGTAGATAGATTACACTGGTCTGTATTTGAAGTGACATTATAAGAAACTAAAAATTAAATTTGCCTTTTCAGGGAAAAACGTGTGGGGGCTTCCTGTGGGCTACACCTGCTCGGGCCCCATCTGCTCTGCACCTGCTGAGCTCAATCCTCTAGCGAGTTTTATCCAGAAAAAGAACAGAGGATTGGAGATAAATAAAAAGGCCATTTCCAAACTCTTAAAAATGGCAAGTTCCAAATTTCTAAATGCTTTGTTGTACAAGACATTTCTCTGTCTTATCAACATTTTATTGAAGCATTATATACATAGTATCCCTCCCAAAAAATGGGACACATTTTAACAGCTGATAGTTCTTACATCTTGAAAACTGCCTTTATAATTATTCAAAATATGTATACATTTTTTGGAGACCTGCGTTTACAGTATTCACCTCACTTTAAAAGCAATTACTACAGCCGAAACCGGTTTGGCTCAGTGGATAGAGTGTTGGCCTGCGGACTGAAAGGTCTCGGGTTCAATTCCGGTCAAGGGCATGTACCTTGGTTGCAGGCACATCACCAGTAGCGGGCGTGCAAGAGGCAGCTGATCGGTGACCTCTCTCATCGATGTTTGTAACTCTCTACTCTGTATCTCTCTCCCTTCCTCTCTGTAAAAAATCAATAAAATATATTTTAAATAAATAAATAAATAAATAAAAGCAATTACTACAGCCTGGCTGCGGTGGCTCAGTGATCATTGCCCTATGAACCAGGAGGTCATGGTTCCATTCCCAGTCCGAGTGCCTGCAAAAGGCAGCCGATGGATGATTATCATCATTGATATTTCTATTTCTCTCTCCCTCTCCTTTCCTTTCTGAAATCAATAAAAATCTATACTAATAAAAAGGTAATATGATAATTAGATTGGGAGACCTTCCAGACATCCTCCCAGACAAAGCCATGGTGGTGGAGCCGAGGCAGAGGCGGTTAAGAGTGATCAGGCCAAGAGGGCAGGACAGTTGGGGTTGATTGGGGGGGGGGAGGGGAAGGGTGCAGTTGGGGGCGAACAGGCTGGCCTGCGGGGCTAGTTGGGGGCAAGCAAGCTGGCAGGGGGGCAGCAGTTGGGGGCAAGCAGGCTGGCAGGCAGAGTGGTTAGGGGCGATCAGGCAGGCAGGCAGGAGAGCAGTTAGGAGCCAGTAGTCCCAGATTGAGATGGATGTCCAACTGCCAGTTTAGGGATCGGGCCTAAAGCAGAAGTCAGACATCCCTCCGAGGGGCCCAGATTGGAGAGGGTGCAGGCTGAGCTGAGGGACACCACTCCCCTGCACAATTTTGTGCACCGGGCTACTAATAAAAAGCAATTGCTACAGTGATCCAGGACATAAATCATGAAAGGATCTCCTTCCAGACAATGTGACTACAGCAACAAAGATTTAAATCTCTCCTTGGGAGGGGCTGAACAGCCTTGGGAAAAGGAGTTAGAAAGGAGGCATTTGACATGCTGTGAGGCCAGTTTCTAAAGTCTTCTGTGATTATCTGACACTGTTTACACCCAGATATTATAAAGTGTCTGTCATTTAATGTCTGGGCCAGGAAGCCTGTCATTGGTGTGAAAATGGAGAAAGGCAAGCCTCGGGCTCCTTCTGGCAGTAAAACCTCTTCAGGTCAAAACTCCAGGCAGGGAATCCTGCTCCATCAGGGGGTCCCCCCCATCTTTCCCAGGAGAGCCACAAACCCAGCATGTTGGGGTCAACCCGAAACCACTTCAACTTCCCCAGAATAAGGACTAGAACTGCTTGTGAACACTGGATCCTGGAGGTGTCTTCTAAGCTAAAGACATCATCAGGATTAAGTGGGGGAGCAGGTGCGGTTTCTAAAACAGCATCCGCACCCCGACAAAGTGACTCCGTTCGCTTGCGCTCGCCTCTCCCTCCAAGGGAACCCCAAATTCCACACTCCTGCCCAGCCTGCCCGCAGCTCCTTCGGCAGCGGCAGCCGGCTGGGCCAGGGCACTGACCCCCTAGGGAGGGGCCGGCTCCTCCGATGACCAGACCGCGGGGACGGGACTGGCCTCCGGGGCGGCGGGGCCCCGGGGACCAGCAGGCCTCCTGCGGAGACCGGACCGGGGCGGAATGGGCTTCTCGGGAGGCCAGCTCGCGGGACCGGCCCTGTGGGACCGGATCCGAGCCGGGACGCGGCCTCCTCCGGAGACGGGTCTCCCCGGGGTGACCGGGCCTGGGACCCAAACGGGCCTGGCGCCGACGACGGGAAGGGCTTCCTTGGAGCGGGCCCGGGGCGCTGACGGGGACGGGGACGGGGACGCGGCCGCCCCCGAGGGCGCTCCAGGCGCCGCGCGGCGCGGGCCGCACCCAGGGCCCGGGCCGCCCCGGCGGCGCCGCTCCCCGAGGGCCGGCCGGCCGCCCGCAGGCCGCGGCGCCGCCTCTTCCGCCGGCGCGTACGTCAGCGCGCCCCGCCCGCCGCCGCCCGAGAGGCCGCCTCCGCCTGGCCTGGGCCTGGAGCGGCGCACGGCGCAGTCCCTCCCCGCCATGGCCCTGGGAGGCGGCAGCACATGGCGGCCGCAGCGGCCATGAGCACGCCCGCCGCCCGCCCCGGCCCCCCCTAGAGCCCGCCGCCGCCGGCCGCGCCACGGCCCCGCCGCCCCCGGCCCCGCCGCCCGCGGCCCCGCCGCCCCGCCGCCCCGCGCCCGCCGCCGCCGCCGCCATGGGCGTGCAGGGCTTCCAGGACTACATCGAGAAGCACTGCCCGAGCGCCGTGGTGCCGGTGGAGCTGCAGAAGCTGGCCCGGGGCAGCCTGGTGGGCGGCGGGCGGCAGCGGCCCCCGCACACGCCGCTGCGCCTGCTGGTGGACGCCGACAACTGCCTGCACCGCCTCTACGGCGGCTTCTACACCGACTGGGTGAGCGGCGGCCAGTGGAACCACATGCTCGGCTACCTGGCCGCGCTGGCCAAGGCCTGCTTCGGCGGCAACATCGAGCTCTTCGTCTTCTTCAACGGCGCGCTCGAGAAGGCGCGGCTGCACGAGTGGGTCAAGCGGCAGGGCAACGAGCGCCAGACGGCGCAGCAGATCGTCAGCCATGTCCAGAACAAGGGCACCCCGCCGCCCAAGGTCTGGTTCCTGCCGCCCGTCTGCATGGCGCACTGCATCCGCCTGGCGCTCATCCGCTTCCACGTCAAGGTGCGGCCGGCGGCGCGGCGCGGCGGGCCGGGCGGGCGGGGCGGGGGCCGGGCGGCGCTGTCCGGGCCTCCGGGCTCGGCTGGGCGTGGGTTTGGGCCTGGGCCCGGGTGGCACTGTGTTCGGGGAGGTCGGGGGCGGGGCCCGGGGCGGGAGGGGGTCGGGGGTCGGCGGGATTCCGGGGTCAGGGACACCCTGGGCAGCGTGTGCGGGGGCCGGGGTCGGCCAGGGGTTGGGGGCCGGGGGCGGGCTGGGCCGGGGTCGCTGGATCCCGGGGGCCGGGGGCCGGGGGCCGGGGGCCGGGCCGCAGGCGCCGCTCTCCCGCCCCGTCCGCGGGCCGCAAGATGGACGCTCGGCCTGGAACCCGCCCGGCGGCCGTGCGTGCAGGGGAGGGGGGGGGCGCTGCCTGGCGGCTCGAGACCCCCCGGGCCGGCGCAGACCAGGCTCGGTGGTGCGGCGCCCCCTCTCTGACACCCGAGTGCACCCCGCCCTCTGGGGGGTGGTGAGCAGCCTGCACTGGGACCAGGCGCCCTGGGCGCTTGGGAGCAACAGGTTTCCTGGGGCAGGTGGGCTGCTGGCCGCGGGCGGGGCCCGGCCGGTGGGTGCAGCGGGCGGTGACCTGGAGGCGGCCCGCGGCCCGGCCTGGCGGCGCCGGCGGTGCGGGTCCGGCGGCGGCGGGGAAAGGCCTGGTCTCGGGGCCGGGACGGAGGACAGCGGCACCGGACGCGGGGAAACTGTCGGCTCTGATGGAGCCGGTGCGGGCGGCCGCGGGCTGTCGGGGAGGCGCAGTCGGCCTGCAGGGCTCCGCCTCCGCGGCGCGGGCCGCCGCCGGGCCGGGCGCCCGGGAAGCCGGAGCCGCGGCTGGCAGAGGGCGCCCGGGCGCCGGCCCTGGAGCGCTTCCCGGGCGCCCGGGCAGATAACATGCAAATCACTGACCCTGGACTTGGCTTTTGCTTCCTTTCTCACCGTTTTCCTTTAGAACCTTTTTTGTGGGTTGTGTTGGGCTTCCGGGCTTGCCCCTCTGTCTTCCCGTTTCCTTTCCTTTCCTTTTGGAAACTGCTTGAAGCCCGGGGTCTGAAACACTCTTCCTGCCTGCCCTCCGCCGGAGCCGCGGCGGCGGCGGCGGCGGAAGTCCCACCCCCGCCCTCCCGCTGCCGTGGGTGCCGGCTCCCGGGCTGCGGTCCCGCCGCCGGCGGGGCGGCCTTTGGTCTGCGCGCCCGGCGGAGGCAGCGGCCTCCCGGGGGTGGGGCCGGGGCGGGGGTGACCGCCCGGGGCAGCTGCTGGCCGGGTCTGCCGGACCCGGAGCTCCCGGAGCAGCCAGGCCGGGTTCCCGGAGTGATCCACCTCCAGATGTCGTAACAAGGCCAACCGTTTATCTTGTCCCGAGGTGGAAACCACTGCTAGGAAGACAGATGAGCTTTCTAACCCAGTGACTTTCAAAGGAACTGTAAACCTTAGGATTTAAATCAGTGTGCGTACCGGCACTGTACCTTTTGAAATAACTACTGAATTTCTTTTTAATTATAAAATGTCTTCATATTTATCTCAGCACCCCTGTGAATGCCTTGCTTACTCGCATAGTTCATTCAGAATTCTGATCAGTGTGTTTGGAAACAAAATTTAAACTAGATTTAAGTTTATGGACAGATGATAAGTTTGTGTATAATAATTTTGCTTTAGATAAACCTTCTAATACAGAATCCCAGTATAGAGTTAATTGCACCGGTTAGTGACTATTACCTGGTAGCCACCTATCTGCCATCTTCACCTTTTTTGGAAAATACCTAAGAAATTTAGCTACTAGAAATTTCTCAGCAGCCAAAGGAAAGGTTAAGAAGTTTGGGTACTGTGATCCAAAGGGGGAGGGTGGGGAGCTTTCTCTGTCCCCATCAGAGAATCAAGTTCTCTTCCTCATAGACTCCGCTCTCCTTCTCAGACAAAATTCTGATAAGCTTAGTTATCTGTTTCTAACCTCAGCTCAGGAAAGTCTGCCAGAGGTTGGAGCATCGTTAATAGCAACAAGTGACACTTCACAAGATTTAAAAAAACACCTATTAAAAAGGCATAATTTTGGGACTACTTGAGAAAAACAACCTTCTGAACTTTATTAGCCCCTGAGGGGTTGGTACAGGGTTTATAAGGATGATTTTGAGTCAAAATAATTTATGTTCAACATTCTCTATGGAAGTGAAGCAGTATGTACTATTTTTCAAAGATGCCCATTTGAATTGGTTAAGTAAATTAAAACCATGATGGCATACCTGTTAGAAGGGTTAAAATACACAACACCAATAATACCAAGTGCTTAGAAGAATGATGAGCAGTTGGAATTGCCCATGTGGCTGGGGGGAAGGTAAGAGGGCACCGCCATTCTGGACAACAGCTCAGTGGTTTCTTATAGAATTGAACGTACATTTACCATAGCAGTCCTACCTAGAAGAATTTTTGTTCACACACAAACCATACATGAATGTTCATAATAGTTTTATTTACTCAAACTTGAAACAACCAAAATATCCTTTAATAGACAAATAGTTAAATTTTGGTACATCTGTACTATGCAGTACTACTTAGCAATAAAAAGGGAGGAATTGCCCTGGCTCAGTGGTTTAGTGTCAACCTATGAACCAGAAGGTCCCGTTGGATTCCTGGTCAGGGCACATGCCTCAGTTGCAAGTTCGATCCCCTGGAGGCCAGCCTATCAATGATTCATTTTCTCTCTCTCTTCCTCTCTCTCTCTCTCTCTCTCCCTCTCTCTCTTTCCCTTTCCCTCCTTCCTTCCCTCCCTCTCCCTCTCTCCAGCCAATCAACGATTCATATTCTCTCTCTCTCTCTCTCTCTCTCTCTCTCTCTCCCTCCCTCCCTCCCTCCCTCCCTCCCCTCCCCTCCCCTCCCCTCCCCTCCCCTCCCCTCCACTCCCCTCTATGTCTCCCCCCTTTGTCTGTGAAATAAAAAAAAATTTTTTTAATGGAGGAATTATTGATACATGCAGTAACTTGGGTGAATCTTTTAGGTTTTATGTTGAGTGAACAAAAAGTATCATTCTATTTTTCTGACATTCTCCTAAGGATAAGATTGTACTGATAGGGAAGGGCAGCTGGAGGGAGCTTTTGGGATTATGGAACTGTACTGAACTCTGATGGTGGTGATGGTAATATATTTTAAAAATCATAGAACTATACATCAAAAGTAAATAAAAGTTAATATTACTGTGCGATAATCATTTTCTTAAAGGTTATATAAAAATTGACAAAGAATTGACATGGACACCTATGTGTAATGTTGGGCATAATGAGGCATTTCTCTTAAAAAATCTATCATCTTATTGGTCTTTATGCTTCTGAAAACTGGCAGGTTTAATTTCTTGTCAGCTTTGCTTAGAGAATTTTTTTTTTTTTTTACTCAGAAGAGTATATTTTTGATAAAGCACCATTATTACTGTAAAGAAATACAATTATTACTTTAACCATTTGAAGTTGGCATACGTGTCAACTAATTTTGTTCAGGTCACTACAGGCCTTGGCCTGCATTTGGCTTCTGCTAGTTACTAGCAGCATTTCCTCTTGTGTGCCTTGAGTCATCATAACCTTTGACACTCAGGGAGGAACTGCTGTTTATTTAAAAATCTTAGTGGCATTAAGTCCCTGGAGGTTTCCTAAATGTTCCTGTCACAAGACTTGTGGTGTTGGTGAGGGGGTTATGATGAAGTTCTTCAGATCTTGTCCTGGATCAGTGCTCTGGTGTATTTACTCAGATCTTACATAAAGCAGAGCTCATGTTTTAAGGCAGCTGAGGAGTGTGAGATTTCGGAATGATTTCTCTTTGTGTAGTTGATGGGGGCAGGACTAACTTGTGGGGGCCAGGCCCTTGCTAAGTTCTCCCTCAAAGCACCTCATTTAACCATCAGCATTTTGTTACCCCATTTTTTTATGGGAAGAAGTGGGCTTGTTTATTGACACCTGAGGACAGGTAACCAGTAACCGCTTCAAGAGGGAAGTGCCTCTGAAGTCAAAGTTCAGTTTCATTGTGTAAGATTGCTTTGGGGTGTGACCACCTGAGTTCACTTTCGGGTCAGATTTGATAGTAAAAGCCTCTATCACTTTTTTCAGTTAGGATGGGAAGGGCAGTTCCTGTCCAGAAGACGCTGAAAACTAGTACTATACCTTATTCTTTAAACACCTTAAATTGACCAGGGAACGTTTAGGGTTCAAAATTGACAATATTATAACTCAAACCAGCCATCCATTTAAAATACTTTCTTCCAGTGTACCAATTCAGCTAGCCTAATGTCTTAAAGATCCATTCATATTGTAAAATTATGTTATAATTTCCTTCCTTTTTAGGTTTAATAACAGTATGGATGGATCACATTTAATATATCTGTCCAGCTTTCCTTAGGTGCTTGAGTTGCAGTCCTTTTAGCTGTTGTGAGGAATGAATAATGCTGCTGTGAACCTGGATGTACAAAATCTATTAAGGTGCCTGCTTCCAATTCTTTTGGTGTATATCCAGAAATGGGATTGCTGGGTCAGTTGATAATTTTATGTTTAATTTCTCAAGGAATCACCATACCAATTTCCACAGAAGCTGCTTATAACATACATTGTATATATACACATATACATTATCCTATATAATCCTATATAATAAAAGCCCTAATATGCTAAGTGTCTGGTCGTCTGTTCAACCAATCAAAGTGTAATGCTAATGATATGCTAATAAGACCATTCAACTGCTCACTATGACATGCACTGACCATCAGGGGGCAGTCAACTGATCGATCAGTTGCTGTGATCTGCACTGACCACCAGGAGGCAGGTGCTCTGACTGGTAAGTTGGCTTGCTGCTGGGGTCCAGTCAATCGGGACTGAGTGAGATGGGCTGGACGCGCCCTGGATCCCTCATTTGATCCCTCCTCAGATGGCCAACTTGCCTTATCCCTCCCTGGTCTAGGTCGTGCACCAGTACAGTCCCTCGGCCTGGCCTGTGCCCTCTTGCAATCC